CAGGGGGCGGGCTACACCAGTAACCATGGCAACTGAAGGGCTAAACCAATCAGAGGAGCTAGCTTTTTCAAGCTTTTATAAAAGCCAGAAATGACACACGCTCAGCGGGCATTTCCGGGGAAGACCAGACCGAGACGGTTCGTTCTTTAATGCTCCAAATATATGCATATATTTTACTAATGTAATTGTTTGTCTCTGAATATCTGTAACCCCTGTTTGTCAAATAAATCTTTTATACCGAGGGCGATGTCTCAGCTGTCTTGAACACGACGTGGTAACCAGCCACGACAGAATGGTGACCCCGAGGTGCAGCGAGACGCGGCCTAGACTGAAATCGGATCGATCGAGATGGTTTGCGGTGCACACGCAGAGGAACTGGGTCCGATAATTTCAGGTAAGCTGGTGAACTGTTTGGACCTTAAGGTCCGGAGTACTGGCTATTCGGCTGTAAACCAAATTCAGACCAAATTCAAATTCCTCTGCTGGTGTGTTTGCATCCATCTCCGGAAAATAAAGATGGTTTGTTTAAGCTAACTTCCGGTGATTCGTGTTAATTCTGACGAAGTGGGTTACGATATTCAGAGAGTTGAAGCGCCGAACACTTTATTTGACGTTTAGGTAGTGTTTTAGTTAGTTTCACAAGTTTCACTTGTGGCCGGAGGAAGGCGAGGCCTGCCGGAAGTTCACGTCGGACGTGGACAACACATTTCCCTTTTTTCAGCGGGACTGGCGACCAAAACGTAACTCTGACGAGAGATACGGTAAACTAATCGGGGATTAGCAGCCGCGGGGCGCGTCTTCCGTGATGGAGTGTCGACTGCCCATCAAATTAGACGCTATTGATAATTTAGTTCAAAGGGAAATGTGAGAAGTCTAGGACTTAGGTAGTTTTACCAAATTTCATGTGGTCAGGGACCACATTAGTTTAGGACGTTGTGATACTTTTTGTTTGCGCCGTGTTTTGTATGTCGTGTGAAGGCTTCAAGGCCGGGAGGCATTGAGGGAGACGTAACAATGGAGAGAAGGAAAAAAAGGGGGGAGTGAGCTGTGTGTGGGGGCGAAGCGAACAGTTATTTTTTCCTTTTTTCTCTGTGTATGGGTCTGTGAGTGGGTGAGTGGAGCTTCCATATCCTGACCGAAAGGAGGCGCTGTTGTATAAGGCATTTACAAGTCTTGACTCACTGAGTTTTCAGACTTGAGAACTGTTTTATTACAACTGCGGCCAGAAGTGCATGAGAATAAAAATATTTGAAAGCCTGAGTGTGTGAATGTTGTTATCTGGTGTGGAACCATAAATGAGGAACATGTGACTCCTGTGGAAAATCTACAGGATCAATATCAGAGACAAAATGCACAAATTAGGGGAAGTATCAAAAAGAAACAGAGGCAATTAGCTAAAGACCAGCAGACCAATAGCTAAAACAAGCAGAAATAAGCTTAAAGTACCAAAATTGAGTGGGTACAGCTTGGTTTTCCTGAATTAGGCTGCAAAAGTTGGATTAATTTAAAGGAAAGGTGAAATTAGCTGATATTGGCATGAAACAGCTACATAGTATCTGAAATGTTAGCAGAAATATCTGCATCTTCCAATCATTAGTTGAAAGGAGCACAGTGTTCAGAAATTAGCAGAAATAAGTCAGTACAAGTACAAAAATGTTCAAGTAAGCTGAATACAGCTTAAAAGAGGGAGGAGACAGGAGGTCGTTGGCTGAACATCCTTAATGCTCTCATTTTAGGGGTGATCGTGGCAGGAGGAGAACTGAACGCCATTTTCAGTCACTGAACGAAGGGAGAGAAACGTAATACATCGTTTAAAACAGGAAGAATAATCAGCAGCTGATTAGACCACAGCTGTCGGAGGCCAGACATAAATGGGGATAAGAGAGCGAGGTCGAAAAACATTTGTATGTTCAATCAGTGTCGGAGGTAAAGGAGGAGGCAGTGGCCTCTGGAACAGTTGATCTGCAGCAATGGTTTGAAACTCAAGGCCAGAGGAAGTCAACTGGAGGTATTGTTGGAACAGCTAGCTGTGTGGGAAGAGGAAGATGGCAGACAGTCACTCACTAAGCGGGCGAGGGACAAAGGTAAATTGATAACAAACGTACTGAACAGACAGGCAAAGGTGGAGAGCTGCTGACAGAGAGCTGCTGACATGATGCAGAGAAGGAAGGTGAATGGTTGAGGTGTCAAAGGGACCAAGTAGAAGAGCAGCATGGCTCACAGCGTTGGTGCTGGGTTCAAACTGTTTTATCAGGGTGTGGATAGAAAGAGAAATGGAGTAAGGGTGGGTGGTCTTGGAGGAAGTGAGGCGTAGGTCTGACGAAGGCCTAAGAGGAAATAAGGAGGATGATTCGTTGTGGTGACTTCTGAAAAGGGTAAAGCTGAAGGAAGCAGGACAAATAAAACAAATAAACATCATAAGCAGGTCAAATTAAGTTTAAATATTTCTGGATGACACATTGTAAACAAATTAGCCGAAATTTCTTCTTGAGATTGACAATAAAATCAGTTAATAAATACAACTATATAACGACAGAATGTAAAATAAGTAATAAACAAAATCCTTGACACTTGTAAAATGAATAAAATTTATTCTGGTCAAAGAAACTCTTAACTAAACACAAATTGAAAGGCTTAAATCAATCAGTCTAAATGACTTTATCACATATTGAAAATATTGTCTAGAGTTTAGGAGCTGTTTCCTTCTAAGAGCTACCTGAAGTGGGTTGTGTATGAGAAAACAACAAGTCTAGTGGGTAAATGAACTGACTCTAAACATCTTGAGACGTCACACAGGTCCTATGAGTGCATGAGGAGAACAGAGTTGAGTACATGGTGAGTAAGAAATTGTGCTTTTGAACAAAGGTGCATGTAGACGTTTTGTGCAGTGCTAATGGTCTCTGTGATGTCTTGAAGTATAGACATAGTCAAAATACATATTCTGAAAGATGGAAGACATTATTTTGGATGGAATATTTTTTGTAGTAGGCGTCAAGAATTGGATTGTGCAGTGTTTAATGAAAGTTTTCACTCTTATGTAATTGAGCGGTT